ATAAACAATGTCAAAGTACAAATAAGAGCAAGAAAACAGATTAAAAACCCCTTAAATGTCAACAATAAAAATAAACACATGTGTCTAAATAAGAAAGCTTTAACCTGGCACTGTAAAAATTGTAGCACAGGTGTCCGCTGGTCACTCTAAGGCAGGGGTCTCAAACTCAACTTACCTGGGGGCCACTGGAAGTAGAGTCTGGGTGTGGCTGGGCCACATCAAGTATTCCACCACCGCGGTGGTGGTGGGCCGCTCATCCAGAGGCCGGCCCGGGCGCCGCCGGCGCTTTGAAGCTGCAGGGCGCCCCCCATGCCCCCTCTTCCCGGCAATTGGCCCACGGGCCGCGAGTTTGAGACCCTTGCTCTAAGAAGAGCATTTTACAACCAGGGTGTTCTTGCTGAGAAAGCCCTGCTTTTATTGTTAACTAGTTTAACAGCCGAAGGAGAAACCTGAAGAACACTTCAGCTGACTGATAGGAGAAAAGATGCTCCTTCAGGTATTTGGTCTGCCCTAGCCTTTTTGGGGGGGCTTTAAAGGTAAGTACCAGCTGACTGGCCCAGAAGTGTGATAGGCATAAACCTGGCTGCAGCTGCTGAAATTTTGGAACCCATATTCCACTCCAACTAAAGCCTCTGAGTCATAAGTGAACTCCCATGGATTGGAGTAATCTGATCACTGTAACAACACTATTCCTGTCCAGAATGGATTGCAGCTGGGAAATCAGCTGAAGCTGGGGAAGGCACTCTGTACCACTGAGGGCACCTGCCCCTAAAGGGACAAAGCTGGATTTAAGAGTACCCAGAGATATTTATATCCTGCCCACCTTCACATGGGCTATCTGAGGCGATGGACTTTACCACTAACGATGGCTCGTGCTCCTCTCCCTGTTCAGAGATGCCGGCATTTATAGCACAGGGAAAGCTCAGCTTTGCTGATCGGTTTGTACTGAACTGCTGCAGCGCTGGGGGAAGCAGCCTTTGCTCCTGCTATTGCTGGCAAACAGGATCACACAGACATTGAAAGCTACCAAGTTGAACTCTTGGCTACAAAACATTTGACTGCAGTAAAATAACAAAGAGCCATCTGCAGACAGGAAGCTGCCTTCTACTGGGTCAAACCATTGGTTCAGCAGTTCAGTACTGTTGACTGACTGGCAGTGGCTTTCCTGGGTTTAAGAACATAAGAGAAGGCCTTTTGCATCAGCCCAAAGGTCCATCTATTCTAGCACTCCATAAACACAGACCAGCTGCCCACAGGATCCATCCAGCAGGGGGGATGCAAAACCTCCTCCTGCCCCGCTCCTCAGCAACTGGTGCATGCAGATGTGCCACCTCTGGAAAAGGGAGGGAGCACATTGCCTTCAAGACCAGTAGCCACCAATAGCCTCTGCCCTAGTGAATCTGCTCAATCCTTTTTTAAAGCCACCCAGATTAGCGGCCATTGCCTCTTCCTGCGGCAGTGAATTCCAGAAGCTTTTCCAGCCTTCCCTGGAGATGCTCCGCATTGAATCCAGGACTTTCTGCATGCAAAACACATGCTCTGCCACTGAGTTGCATCTCCTCAGTCAACTGACAGTATTTGATTGGCCAAGGGACCTGTGTGCCAACCCTACCAGGCCCAGAACTGTTCAGCTTCAGTGAGGTTGTAGCATTATGCATTATCATCATCCCCTGCTCTGGTGAGGCTCATGATTCTGCTTGCGCATGATGCTTTGATACCAAACCAGATGAGGCAGCTGAACGATTCTGTGTTAGCCTCAACAAGCCCACAAGCCACCCTTACAAGCTCGCCTGCACACTGCTGGTGCTCCTAAAGACTAAAGAGCCAACATGCGTAAATGCAACAGCATAAGAAGGCATCTTCTGGATCAGGCAATCTGGGCCAGCACCCCATTTTCCACAGTGGCCATCCAGCTGCCCATGGGAAGTCCCCAGGCATTACGTTTAGAGGCATATTTTTTATTTATTTATATTGTGATTTATATCATGCCTTTTTCCTACAAAGGACTCAAGGCAGCTTACATCATCTCTCCTCCTCCATCTTTCCCCACAACAACAACCCTGTGAGGTAGGTTGGGCTGAGAGTCTGTGACTGGCCCAAAGTCACCCAGTTGGCTCCATGGCTGAGCGGGGACTAGAACCCAGATCCTCTGAGTCCCAGTCCCATGCTCTTAACCACTACACCACACAGTAGCCAGGGATAGCCTTACTTGCCATTTGTTGTTCAGTCGCAAAGTTGTGCCTGACCCCATGGACAACATTCCTCCAGGCCCTCCTGTCCTCCACCATCCCCGGAGTCCACCCAAGCCCACACCCACTGCCCCAGTGACCCCATCCAGCCACCTCATCCTCTGCCGCCCCCTTCTCCTTTTGCCATCCATTGTTCCCAGCATCAGGGTCTTCTCCAGGGAGTTGTTCTTACATTCCAGGTTCCTATGCAGTATTGTTCTTTACAGCATCGGACTTTCCTTTCACCACCAGATACATCCGCGACTCAGTGTCCTCTCAGCTTTGACCCAGTCACTTATTCATGTAATCTCCCTTTAACGCTATCCAAGTTGACCATAAATACATCTTGTGGAAACAAATGTAACCGTTTTAATTCTGTGCTGAGAAGCCCTTCTCTCCTGAATGACCCAGAAATCAGTTTCATTGGATGATCCCCATTTCTAGGACCATGAGTGAGGGACAAAAAACCTCTCCGTATCCACTTTCTCCACACTATGCTTAGTTTTGTACACCTCTAGCTTATCTTCTCTGCAAGGCTGTTTGTAGTGCCTATTTACTGTGGCTATTTTCAAGCCGGATATAAGGAATGTAAAACAAAAAAGAGCTAAAGAAAACACTTCCCTAAACAGCTGCGGCTCTATTGATTGTACTCAGTGCAGAATTTGGTGTTAGATACAGGTATTATTATATTATATTTATACCCTGCCTTTCTTGTAAGGAATCTAAGCTGGCTTACAAGGTTCCTGCTTCTCCATTTTATCTTCACAACACCCCATGAGGTAGGCCAGGCTGACTGGCCCAAAGTCACCCATGGTTGAGTGGGGACTAGAACCCAGATCTTCCAGGTCTCCAGTCTAACACTTTTGCCACCACACCACAGAAATAGACAGGGTGGCAATGAAGATGGGAAGAAACAGGGCCAGGATGTGTCCCTCCAGAGTGAGGAAAAAGAAGCTTCAGTCATCTGGAACACTGAAAAAAGATGGTTGTTATATTCTAAGAAGCAGGGGAGCAATAGATGCTCTTGAGTCAAATGTGGAGTCCTGTTTTCTATCTCTTGGAAGCTGGAACTCTGCCCCTGCTTATATGAAACATAAACCTTGGCAGATGTGAGGTTTTGTCATTCCTGATTGATGGAAAGTCCTACTTCTTTATGGTTCAGTTTTCTTTTTTTCAAAAAAGGGAAGCAAGTGTGAAAGTGAATTGGGCTTTCCATGTTTGCGGGCCTACATGTGCCTTACCAGATAAATCATCTTTGTGAAAGGAAATGTTTTCAGCAATTTTAGAGGCTACAAGGTCATCTGTGGGGCTGTGGAGAGACATTCTGTTTCATTGAGCTCTCCCTGACCCCAACACATTCACACAGCTGTAACCCAAAACCAAACTGGGCACTGAAGACTGATTTCTTTTGGCAACCATTTTAAAGATACTTTCTGTCTGTGTTTTTCCCTTCTCCTGCTCTTTTCCCATTATTTTTGGTGGTGTTTATTTTTTTGGTGTTTTGATTTTAAGATACTCATTTTTTGTTATTTGTTTTTATTATTATTTGTTTTTCGGCACCAGGCTAAGGCCTTTTTATTTAAACAATATTTTAACAACACTTAATATCTATAGGTTTTAATTGTGCAGCCAGGGTGTTTCCAGGTTTTAATTGTATTTGTATCATGTTTATTTATTTATGTGAGCTGTCCCGAGGCTATAAGCAATGGGACCGCATACAAAACTCTAAATAAATAAATAAATACTGTAAGCTATATACTGCAATCTGCCTTCAGGTAAGCATGCATTTTCCCAAGAGAGACAGACTAAACTTTTTGATAAACAATAGTCCTCAACCTTTTCAGACTTGCATTGAACACCACATGGAACATGGGTCTTTACAAAGCTGGTATCTCTTGCTCTCAATGCCCCGTAACTTTGTTTTCTTTTCTTTAAAAACTGAAGAACAAAGAAAATTATGATGGCGAGACTACTCAATCAGGGTGAAACTGTTTTAACCCCCCCACTCCTCCCCACCAACCTAATGCCCTTTGATTGCATCAGGCTCCTATAAAGCTACTCCCATAATTCCTAGCTGCTAGCTTTTCTTCTTTTTATGGACACCTGTTCCTTTCTCCTCATGAGTTAATATATCAAAGGCATGCTTGGGTGAATTATTAGAAATAGCTGGGTTCTGCTTGGACCTGTGAGTCTTTCCTTCTCCAAGTGATTGGTTGAGAGCTCCATATGCACTTCAACAGAGTATTGGAGATGAGTTGCTAGGGAGAACTATGAACAATGTGGTTACTATGTTAAAATTTCTAGGTTCTAGTGAAGGTCTGACAGCTGGGTTTTGAACAAAACATGCCACCTTTTCTTGGTGTCGCCAATCCAAATAACATTGGACTAGAGGGCTGTCAGTAACCTTATGGTAGTCCTTACAGACATTTCACCCCAAGTGCATAGATCACCTTTCTCCTTCAGCCTGTTGCCCACTTAGTTGCACTGGACTACAATACCCATTAATTTCAGGCAGCATAGCCACTGAGGACGCAGCCCAAGGCATCTGCCTGGCACCAGAAGAAGGCTGGTTCAGATGGCCAAGGCCGATGCCTGAATTCATTCATTCCAACAGACATGCACCTGTGTGATTCTCTTTCCTTTCCCAGTTTGGAAGAGGCATTCTGCCTTTACCTGAACACCAGCAAGAACACCTGTTCCAGAACCGGTCCTGTGGCAAGATACTCATACATCATCTACAAGAGAAAGACATATCTTTCCTCCACCACTGTCAAAACTTACTGGATTTATATACGAATTTGTAACTTATCAGATCAAATGCACAATTTAAAAATAATCTGATTTATTCACAGAAATTCCAGTCCTTAATCCCACTTACAAGACAAAAGTTTCACCAAACACAATCAGACTTACAACTGGCTTCAGATTGCAAGAGGCTGAAAATGATGCGCTGCCTTACCAGTGAAGAAGGCCCATTGGACTTAATGGGGTTTACTTCCCAGTGAGCTTGTATGGGGCTATCAGTAACAGGAACAATTAATAACGATTCTGTAAAGACAGCGAGTGGAGTTTGGTGTTTAGAGTACTGGGGTGGAACTCAGAAGATGCGGTCCTAGTTCCTTCTCAGCCATGAAGATCCCTGGGTGTCTTTGGGCCAGTCACGGACTCTCAGCCTAACCTACCTCACAGGGTCGTTGTGAGAATAAAAGGGAGAGGAGGGGAAGCATCGAAGCTGCCTTGGGTTCCTTGCAGGAGAAAGAAAGGCGCCGCATCGAGGCAGCGTGATGATAACAAACCAAACAGGAACATTCGTTTAAGTGAGTGCCAAACCCCCTACTCGTAAGGAGGCGGCAGATCCCACAGACCTGCCCCCGCGGCCCGGAGTGGCACAGTCCTCGCCCACTCCCCACCTGCCCGGGGCGCGCCAGGCCTCCGCGCGCGGCGCCTCGCCCCTCGGCTCACCGATCGAGATCTCCTGGGCGAAGGCCAGCGAGATGAGCAGCAGCGGCAGCCCGACGGCGATGCAGGTGACCAGCTTGTCGACGGCCAGCTCCAGCCGCAGCCCCTTGTACCTGTGCTCCGCCGGCTCCTTCAGCAGGAGGTCCGAGAAGACGTACTCGGTGGCGATGTGCGCGATGGCCATGGTGGCGGCGGCGGCGTCTCAACAAAGGCGCGCGCGGGCGGGCGGGCTCCCTCGCCCCTGCCTCGGCTCAGGCGTGCGCCCGCATCGCCCGCGGCGCCGGGCCCGACGGGCGAGGCAGGGGGCCGGGCGGGGTGCGCGCGGCCCGCCTTTGTCTGGCGCCCGGCCGGGGCCCCACGGGAGGAGACGGGAGCGCGCCGGAGAGACGGCGGGGAGGAGGGCGCTGCGCGTCTCCAGCCTCGCCTCGCCACGGCCCGCCCTCGCTCCCTCCGCGCGCGCCTTTGTCAAGAGGCGGGAACTCGCCGGGGGAGGGCTTGTGGCGAGGGAGGCGCCCCCGCGGCTTCCCGGCGCCTCGTGCACCTTGCATTGTGATTGCACGCTCCTCGGGGCAGCGGGGTGCTCTCTGCGGACTCGCCGCGTGGCTGGGTGCCTCCCGTTGCAAAGGAGAGGCGAGGAGAGCCCTCCGTGGGAAGAACGGTCAGAGGGCGAGTCTCTCTCTGAGGGCGTGCTCGGCTTGATGGGCTGCTTTAAAAGTGCGGTTTAAATCCGAAAGAGGGACAGCAAGAGGGCCTAAGAAGTTGGCCGCTTGCGCTGCTTGGCGCCTGGGGAGCAATTTGTGCAGGCAAACGGGTCAGCCGGCCTGCTACGGTGATATGTATTCATTTCCATTTAAAATATGATGTCTGCATTTTTATTTGTGCATGAAATTTGACATACGTGGCGCTGCCGCACTAATGCCACACATGGTTGGCCAGTAACTTGGGTCCCCAAATCGCTCTTTCCGCAGGGGGAGATGTCAGATATCATGGGAATGGCCCATCTGTTTGCCTGCGTATCTGAGCACCGCGGAGGTGGAAAGTGATCATGGTCCAAGGGCAGATGTTTATTGTCAGCCGTGCTGCGTGCAGAAGGCCATAAAACGAGGCTGAAAGTCAGAGCCCAGCCTATTCGTACAGTTCCAGTGACCAATGGGACTGAAGCAATTCAAGAACCTTTAAACATTTACACTACAGCCGCTAAAACTGCTGAGAGGGCTTCCAAACTATTTCAGTAGTGAAAAGTAATGGGTTAGTCCCATAGTTTCTCTTTGCGCTGCCCGTGTTCCTCACCCCACCCGCCTTCTGGGTGCCTTTTCTTCTTTTGCTGTCATTGCTCCACTGAATTTCAGAGGCAAACTGAATGGGGACAGTCTTGGGGAAAAACTCCCCTGACTCTCAAAAGTTGTTTACTCCCCCGCCCCATTCATTGTCATTGGGTTATAAGAAGCATTTCTTGAAAAACACAAACTAATTTTTAAAAACCTCTAGAAAGTGATTTCTCATTACATTTGATACTGCAGAAAGTTTCATGCATTTATGATTCTGAGCTTGAAAGGCAGTACACATAGAAAGTCAACAAATGCTTAATTTATGCAACTTTATTGCCTAAATTGGTGCTTCCTAGCTGTTTTTACAGCATGAAGGCACTGTATGCACACCCATAATTTGATAGCGACTTAGTGGTAAATACAGGAAAAAGAAACAGGTGTTTGAAATGCTTGCAGTGTTCATACTACTTTGAATGTTATGAAAGCAGTGTTGAAAGAACTAATTGTGATTTATGAATGTTATTTCTATACCACCAAATAGCTGCAGCTCTCTGGGCTTCGTACAGTTCAAATAACATTTAAGCATCTACAGCTGCTATTTCTGCAGTCATGCCATGCCATTGCTGATTTGAGGTTGGATGCAGACTTAGTAATATTTAGAGTAAGCCCATTGAAATTAATAGAATATTTAGGGTAGACACATTGATTTCAATGTGCCAACTCTTCAGTATGACTTAGTATGGATTCAGTCCAATCTGCTACTGAAAGATGTATGCACATTTTTCCAGTTACATTGGTACCTTGAATTGAGTGCAATGGAAATGTAAGGTAATATTTAGTTATATGCAGAGCTAGGTTATGTATTTAAAGGTTTATAAACAGGTGTACATCTCATTTAGCCTGGCACATTTAGGGTGCAATTCTGGGAATACCACTGAACAGAGGTGTAAAGGATTCCATTATTAAAGCTCCTGGTGTTCAGACAATGGGTTTAAACCCTTTAATTCTGTCATGGATGCTAGGTAGTAAATTCAGCATGTAAAAAGGTTAGAATCCATAAGGCTGGATTCAAAATGTGAAGCCCTGAAGATTTAAAAAAATGACACATTTGGGGGAAAGTGCATTTTTCCAAATGGTACCCTGGCCTCAAAGCTGGGCATCTGATCTCGAACCCTTATCCTGCTTCCAGCCAGCATGGAGAGAACCATTCTGGCTGCTCTTCAAGTCCAGGAACACATCCCAGTGGATTGGAGGCAGGCCTGGATATCTTGAAGACCCCCCAGAAGCCCACCTAGTGAAAATGCAGGGCAGGAGCATAGGAAGGCCTCCTCCTGCTCTTCATAGGATGACTAAACTGCCCATCAAGTATGATGATGACAAGTCATTACTGTAAGAACCCAGGTCTCCCCTGCTTATGCAGAGGCGCTGGGTTCCTTTTTCTTCTGACTATTAAAGAATTCTGTGCAAGTAGATAACTTGCATACTCTCAGACCAGCAAAAGTTCACCTTTCAGGATCAGTTTGGCAGTAGGTGAGAAAACGATGGTGAGGGCAGATGACACACATGGAAAATGGATTTCAGCAGAGAAAGTTAAGCACAGAGTTTAGTCTATGACCACAGTCTGTGAGACTTAAAGCTACTTAACTGTGTCTTGAATGTATCTGCAGCAAGGTATCTTAAGTAACCAAAGGCCAGTGTGTATATTATAATATACAATGTTTTGATAACGTTGCACTTTTCAGCAACCTATACATAAAAAACCCTGTAAAAAGTGGATAATAAGTCATAATTCTTTACCATGTTTATATTTTAACAGTGAAATCACTCTCTTCGTTTACAGCAGACTGGAAGAAAATGTACAGGCCTGGATAATGTACTTCACACAAGAACAATCAAAGCATGTAATCAGGTCTAAAGTGAATCTTCTTGAAAAAGGCTTTCCAATGGTTTTCCAGGGGTAGGGAGAGAGCTAGGAACCAAACAATTTTGCTTCTCTTTGTCATGTCAAAGCATTGGCTCAGTTCAGATGTGACAACTTCCCGTGCACGGTTTGTTGTTGTGACAATAAGTCTGCATGACCCTCAGCTTCATGAGCTTCCCCTGCTAGGCAAATCTGAGGATATCAAAAACATGTGTTTTCACTTCTGAGTTAACCATAGTTCCCTGTTTTATTGAAACTCTGCGAATTGTGGTTTATTCAAATTGTGGTTAGTTTAAACAAATTGTGATAAAGCTGGGGATAAAGATCATGTTTTAATTGACCACAGTGTCCAAAGTCTGGACGTATCAGCAAATCCTTATTATGTTATGGAAGTGGGAGCTTTAATTCTTCCTCTCTTGTACAAAAGAGGAAAGGGCCAAAAGTATGTGAAAGCTGTTTCTTGTAAGATCAAGCTCTGAGTTTTTTCGTCAACCTATTTTTTTAGTCATGGGTGGGCAACTTGTGATCCTCCAGATATTCTGGCCTACAGTGCCCCTTATCCCTCACCACTGCCTATGCTAACCAGGGCTAATGGGAGTTGTAGCACCCCCCCCCCCAAAAAAAAAGATTCTGGAGGCCCCCAGTTGCCCAATCCTGATTTTAGTACACCAAATTGGAGTAAAAGAGTTGATAAAAGAAATTATAATAAGCAGTAACTCTGCTGAGAAAACTTGTTTTACTTAGGTAAAATATCACACAATCCCTTCCTTTGTCACATGTCTGTCCTGCCCTTTGGAGGAACTCAGGACTACTCTGTCCCCACGACAGTGCTGTGGGCTCCTTGCTTAAGGGGACAAGTCTCCCACTTTCTGCCTCCTACCATCCCCTGATCTTCACCTTTCAAGTCATGCAATAACAAAACTGGAGGAGGAAAATCTTTATAGTCTAGTCTTACTTGGTCTGAAGTAAATATGGAGGTCAGTACAACCATATTTAATACCTGAGGAAAATGTATGATTCTCCAGGATACTGTAGTTCCATATTTATTCTACTCCTTCTCCAGGAATTCATTTCTCATATATCTTCTCATTGCCTCCAAATTAATTTGGCTTCTGGCCTGGGTATGGATCCTCACAGGGCACGACCCAGATCCATCATGAGCTCTAGATATTCTGGACCATTTTTTAAAACTTGGGTGCTTCCCAAGTTGCAATCAGTTAAGAATGCAATCAGGAAAAAGGCCTGCCGATCCTATGCTTCAAACCAGTACCTCTCATTTTATTTCAGCAATAATTCTGCTTAGAAGTTCCTCATTGTAAGCAGCCATCTTAGTCTTTCTGTAAATAAGGCATGCTTGTTGTTTTTGGCCTCACCTCAAGTTATTTCAATAGTCCTTTGCACCATCAGCTTAGAGGGGATCCATTGGGAGATCATACTTGTGACCGACGGACTTATAATAGCCTCTTTTTTTCTGGCAAACAATAATGAGCATAAGAAGCAACGTGGCTGCCAAAAGTGCCAGTCCGGTAAGAAAAAGAGCTTGGAGGACCGAACTTGCTTCTCCCAGGCCCAGAGTCTTCCCAAGGAATTCTATTCCTGCTCTGTCATTACCTGTTGAAAGAGAGAGGCATTTGTTACGACATGCATAGTATTCCCACTTGTTTGGAAGCTACATTAGAAACACTGAGGGGCAATTCATGCTTTTTAAAAGTTGTCCAACTAATGTTTTACAGGTGTGCTTGGATACACCAAGTATGAACAACATGTGGAGACAAATGAGTGATGATAAGCATGTGAAATACCCATTCACACAGAGAGCTTTGGCCTCGGGGCAGTAAAGAAATGAAGATGAAGATGATGATGATGATGATGAGGAGGAGTCTTGTAAGACTTGTTGAATGCAGTTGCAGCAGCAAACCTGGATTTGCTCTATGTCATGGTCCCAATGTCATGCGTTGCTTACCTTTTCCAGTAATTTTGTTGTTGCCAGAAGATGCATCATATACCCTGGTTGTAGCTGTGTGTCCAACACCATCTGAGCAAAAAAGAAAAGAAAAATGGTTCTTTCTTAATAAGGAAATTTGACCACTTTGCTCTGCATAGTATATTGTTGCTTTCTAACAGTACAATCCTATACATGTTTACTTAGAAATCAGTCTTCTACCTTTCAATGGTGCGTACTCCCAGATAGGTTTGTCTATGCACTTACCTGGGAGTAAGTCCTACTGCAAATTTGAAGGAGTCTTCCTGAGTAGATGTGTAAAAGATTGCATTGTTAGGGCTTAATTCTATGCAAGCTTAAACAGAAAAAGGCCCAAAACTCCCTGTATGCCGAGAGTGGTAGACCCCTTTTTCCCCATCTAAACTTGCCTTTAGTGTCTTCAGTAGAAATCCACATTTGGGGCACAATGACATACATGTTTAGGCAGGAAAAAGTTGTACATCTCCTGGCATATATAACTGACTGAGACTGCATTGTGGGATTATTTCCGACTCAACATGCATACAATCACACTCTCAACCAGAAAGCTGAAGAGCTTTCTTTCCCAGTCTTAAACCCAACCTTTTCCTACCTTGATTTAAAGCAATGTACATGTGCTTGAACATGCTTTGCATAATTTCACAGCAATGAACAGAACAGTGCACAAAAGCAAAACAAAACAGAAGACCAAGCAGTGTACTTAGCCATTTAACATCCATTTTTTTACAATATTTCTCACCCATGTTTTGCTTGGGTACTTGTAAACCAGCTTACAATATAAAGCATAGAACTTATTGTGCCAAGAACAACAATAAGTATCATTCAACAAATGAAACAGCATAGCAGAAAAAAACCTTCTGAGTGCCTCACTTGTCTCTGGAAATTTGATGAGGAAAAGAATAAATGCACATTTCCATGGGAGGTCATTCCAGAACACTGAAGTCTCTAAAGAAAAGGACCTGCCTCTTATATAAACTGATCTACAACTGATTATAATTAAGTATAATATAAGTGTAATCTATTAGTACAACACATGATGATACTTAGAAAATATCACAGGCTTATCTCAAACCTTAGGGATGCTCCTATGAGAGAAGATGCCCCTAAATTATCTGGATATATTGCCATAGGCAAATTAGCATCCTGGACACTTTTGAAAGGTATATGCTATAGATTTGACCAGGTCCCTTTGATGTGCTGATCTATTGACAAGGCTTACAAATGTGTGTTTTCATTTAATTATAGTTTGCATGAGGAAACGAGAAATCTGGACTTTTCAATTCTGGCTCCCAGGTCAGGTTTGGCGAGTTGCAATGTAATGGTCTTAATAAAATTATTTAACCCTCTGTCAATATCTATCGACTCATGATTTTTCATCTGTGTAGTTTTAGTGATTCACTTTGGCTCCAATTCTGTCTCTCTCTCTACTAAGAAGTAGATTATGCCATGGATAATCTTAGTGAATGGCAAGAAACTCTTGAGACCGATTTTTACTAGAAGTGTTCAGTCAGGTCCTGTTGTTGGACCTGAGGCATGATGGGGAAAGGATGATTCTGAGTGTTTGAATTTCTCAGAGCTAAGCCATTTGGACTTTGGTTCCTGATATACACCATGATTAAACTGATTTCATCTTTGGGCATGAATTTATGAGGTCTTATTCAGCCTGGATGTCTAGCAAACCAATAACAAAGAAGAGCCCGTATTACAGCTATCACTATATAATGCTCATAATTTTTGCTGATCCCAGCACTTGAAACTATTCAGGAAGTTGCAAAGTATCTTGGCTTGGGTATTCATCAAGAACAAGTGCTTTTTTTACTTGGGATATCAAATTGGCTAAGACAGAAATTCACTGAAATGGAACGATAATTATAGAGGAATAAACAAAGGGATATAAATCTTAATTTTCTCACTCTAGCTTTTAAACACCGTCTATTTGAGGCAGAGAGACAGAATTTTGGATACAGTCTTCTGAAAGAAAAACAGTGACTTGTTTGGAAACAAGGGGATGGTGCTGAGCTCGTGCCTCCAGAACTGACCCCAACCTTGAGGCTTTTCTCAGACTTCATCCTGGACTGGAGGAACCTGTGGCCCTCCACATACTCCGCAGCTCCAATTGGCAATCCTTGGGGAGAATTGTAGGCCTCTGGGGTACAGCCTGCAGGCTGAGTGTAGCCCCTGTCTACAGGTGTCCCACCCACTGCAGGAAGAAGTGATGACCCCTGTTGGTTACGTAAGTATTCGTCCCACTTGAGTCAATCCTTGGTAGAAGCACCTTTGGCAGCAATTGGAGCTGCAAGTCTTCTTGGATCCCTTGCAGAATGAAACCGGTTTTACTCTTGAATGGCCCTATATTTGGCTCCATCTATCTTGCCCGCAATCCTGACCAGTTTCCTAGTCCCTGTTGAGGAAAACTATCCCCACAACCTGATGCAGCCACAAGTGTTATGAGCACTGCTGGCTTTGTACCACAGGTAGCATTTTGTAGCAAGGCCAAAAGTTCAATTTTGGTTTCATCAGACCAACAAACCTTTTCCCACATGGTTGTGGGGTCTCTCAGATGCCCTGTTGCAAACGCCAAATGGGCTTCAATAGGGGTTTGTTTCAGCAATGGCTTTTTTCTCACTATTCTGTAAAGCTCAGCTTTGAGTTCCCATTGGCCTCTTGGTTGCACCTCTGACTGATGCCCTCCATATCTGGTCACTGAGCTTTGGTGGATGGCCTTCTTGAGGCAGAGCTGGGTCGAGCCATATTCTTTCCAGTTGTAATAATAATTTTTTAAATGAATTTAATGGTACTCTAGCAGATATTCAAAACTTGGGGCATTTTTTTATAACCCAAGCCTGACCCAAGCCTGTGGAGCTCAACCCCAGAATTGTTTAGTTGATAACTCCTGGGTCTTCATTATGTTCTTCATTCAGATACGTGCTCCAAAGCAGGCTGGGTCTCCCCACAGATTTATTTATTTATTTTTCGATTTATATCCTGCCTTTTTCCTACAAAGGGCTCAAGGCAGCTTACATCATTCTCCTCCTCCATCTTATCCCCACAACAACAACCCTGTGAGGTAGGTTGGGCTGAGAGTCTGTGACTGGCCCAAAGTCACCCATTTGGCTGCATGGCTGAGTGGGGACTAGAACCCGGATCGCCTGAGTCCCAGTCCCATGCTCTTCACCACTACACCACACTGGGTCTCCAAGATATGTATTGAATCTGGGATCATGCAGCACTGGAATTGCGCACAGGTGGACTCCATCTACCGATACAGGCTTTGGAAGGCAGTGAGTTGCATCAGCACTTAGTTTAGGGATGACACAGCAAAGGAGGTGAATTCTTACCCAAACAAGAAGTGCCAGTTTGTCTACTGAATTTTTGCAGTACAATAAAATTTTGCAGCATCACAGAGTGGAATATCTTAAATCCATTTCAATTCCAAGTTGTAGCACCACAAAATATGGAAAAGTCAAAGGGGCGGGGAACTCACACAGAGACACACATATATCTAAAACCATTGGAAACCTTCAACAATAAGAAAAATACAGGAGGTGATTAAAACCTCATCATATGCTTTCAAACGCTTGCATGAAGAGGAAGGCCTTAATCTGGCCCAGAAAAGTTAAGGATGGTGCCAGACAGGCCTTGTTGGAGAGATCATTCTATGGTTGGGGGGCCACCACTGAGAAAGCCCTCACCTTTGGAGGAATTTAGATAATGTAGTGCATAGGGAATTTCATGCGAGGAACGCCATCAGGTTCTGCGATCCTGGGTCACGTATTGCTGCTGTCCTGCTATGACTGGGGGTGGACAAAGCCAAGCCATGAAGGGGCTGATCCCCATATGCACGGCCTGCTCCGCAACACCAAATAAAGCTCACAGGACCAAGAAGTTGTACACCTTGTTGTGCCAACAGCATCAAGTTCCCATCACTTCCACCTTACCCAAACCCCAGTCACAAACCGGCCTTTACCAGTTATTACCTGATTTCATGATGGTGTAGGTTGTCTCCATCCCTGCGTGGATGTGATCGTGGACGTGGCAATGTAAAAGCCAAGTCCCAGGATTAAGTGCTAGCAGCTCTACAGTCTGAAAAGTCCCTGGAAAGAGGTCGTACACATCTCCTCGGTGATCATGATCTGTCTGCAGCGAGATGGGACAGCATCATTAAGGTTCCCCACCAAGGAGACTGTCTGGGACAAACGCTGGCTCCCTCGGCTAGGAAACGGAGATGAGCACCGCCCCCCAGAGTCAGGCATGACTGGACGTAACGTCAAGGGGAAACCTTTACCTTTTACCTTTACCATGAGAAAATCAAACCTTATCACAAGCCGACTAAATTTATAGTCTCAATAAAGGATCTGGAATTCTGTGCGGTAGAAATTATTGGATTTTATCTGGCCAGGGCGGCTTGTTTTATATTGGTATGTTTGCATTTTTAACTTAATGTTTGTATTTTTTTAATTTAATGTTATAATTATTTTTTTTTCTTAACTTAACGTTGTAAGCCGCCCCGAGGCTTTGGCGAATGGGGCGGCATAAAAATGTTTTAATTAATAAATAAATAAATGCTAAACTCTTGCAGCCTCTCCACTCTCAAAGGTGCCTGGTCAAAACATTCTTATTTCCACGTTATTGTAATTGTTGATTATGCTATGAGATTTTATATTGACTTATAAACTGATTTGGTACAGTTTGGTCATTACTATGTTATTTTGTATAGTTTTGCTATTGCTTTATCATAAGCTTGCTGAATTTTATTGTTACGTTGACAGGCAGGTTTGTTTTAAATCTGTATTTAAATTGATTGTTATTGTTCAAAGTATATTCTGTTCAAAGTATATTCTGTACACTTTTCTGAGAGCTTGTTTAATCAAATGCTATAGAAATACCTTTACTAAACCTGGAAAGGCTACCTGTGTATACAGTCTAGAACACAGTGGTACGTTTCCATTCCATTCTTGCACACAAGAAGCTCAGACTGGCGTGGAAACAATGCAAAAGTGTAAAAGGGAAACCATGTGACTTTTTCAAGATTAAGAAGAGCAAGAGGCACATCCAGCGCCCTTAGACACATTGTGGTGTTTCCGGCTGCCAAGAAGCAACAATGCAGAATCAGTCCCAACATCCTATAGGGCTATTTGCTGAGATTACTGCAAACAATTTTTTGGTACACTCTAGCTTTAGTGAAAGCATTTTAAAGTCTCACAGAGACTACTGATTTACTCACTGAGTAACATGACTAATTCCTCAGTTAAAAACAATGAGCACTGAAACTTTTAACTTTGGCCCTATTTGCATTTTGTTTTATGTTTCTCAGAATTTTGAGAAGATAGAAGTCCCCGCCTTCTTTACAACCTTTTAACAAGCCTCTACTGATTTACTCACTGAGTAACATGACTAACTCCTCAGTTAAAAACAATGAGCACTGAAACTTTTAACTTTGGCCCTATTTGCATTTTGTTTTATGTTTCTCAGAATTTTGAGAAGATAGAAGTCCCCGCCTTCTTTACAACATTTTAACAAGCCTCTAAATATTTCATTCGGCTTTGGGACAAAACACACTGGCTTGAAATCCAGAGATGACTCTTCAATTCTTAGAAAGTAAAAATGATTTTCCCATAACTGTCCAATGGTCTATAAAAATGGGGAAAAAGACACGGTGAACCACATAAACGATTAAACATTTTGATTTAAGAAAGGCCACAGATTACTTTATGATGGTTTGCAACCACCATTTTCTTGAAAGCAGTGACAAAACTCCTACTAACAACATTCTGAACCTGTATAGGGTCAATGCATGAGAAGTAGGGAAGGCACGTTCCAGCTCAGGGCAGCTCTCTGAAGCAGGCAGCCTTCTCTCCATCCAAGCAAGGCTGCTGAATAGAATTTATGAGTTCACCTGGGATTACCTGTATATGTGGATCCTGACACAGCCACAGGTAAACAGCATAGAGCACCCCAAGACTGTGGCTGGAGAGGCACACTGAAGGAGTGCCGTTTGTAACCTAGCAAAGGAATTTGCTCATGGAGACTACTTCCACATACATATCTCTCGATGACTGAGATGTTGGGATATATTCCAGGTTCATTATGCTGATTAAAAGGTCCCCCAGTTTGGCAGTTTGAACCAAAGGTTTTACATTATATTATTTTTAAACAGCTGTTCTCCCATATATCAATTTGTGTATCTGGTGCATCTGTACAAACTTGATAATCCAGCATTAAACCACTGCAAATGGTGCTCTTTATACCAACCTTGAAGAGAAAGCTCTCGCCATGGAAATGAACAGTATGGAGGTCGATTTCATTTCCCATCCCTATCAGGTACCAGTTTGTGCTTTCTCCTTCATTCATGGTTAATCCAGGAAGGTTGTCATAGATCTTTCCATTGATTGCTGAAAGAATTAAGGAAGAACTTTGTAAGGAACGAACAGAGTGAACAATGTGTTCCACAAACTAGGGTTGAAGAACTGGTGGCCCTCCAAATATTGAGGAATTACAACTCCTATAATCCCTGAACATTGCCCATGTGGGTTTGGGCTGATGGGAATTGTAGTCCAACAACTCTAGAGGGCCACAGGTCTTCCAGCCCAGAAAACTCAAAATGTTTGCTCTTTCTTCAGTTCTTCCAGCTTGGAAGAGGTGTGCATGAAGAGAGGCATTTCCAATGGTGCAAGGGGAAGCTGCTAATTACAGTCCCCAATTACAAAGTGTCATTTTAGAGGATTGCTTGACCCTCAGGAGCACCTTTTCAGGGCACTCAACTTTTTGTAGTGCCAGGAACTACAAAGCAACAAGAAAGTCCTGTTGCACACATGTAGTATTCTACGTCTTTGGATCCAAGCCTCTGTTTCCAAGATCTGTTGCAAAGACTCTCAGACAAAGCACATTTACATAATAAAGTGCAAAACCAAGTTGGTTCAGATATTCCTTGCTTAAGTGCTTTCCTTATGAAAGATACCTGCGCACAGAGGACTAGCTTATCAGGGTGAAGGCTTGGTCTCCCTGCTGCAGTCTGAAGAGTTGCAGTACAGTCTCAATGGAGCTGTATTCCATGATTATATTTAATGCCCAGATTTGCGCTTTCTTTGTGAATCACAGATTGTGGGTCTGTACAATGGCAAGCTTTAAGGTTATTTATATGATTGTTTATTTATTTGTTTTGCAAGCCGCCCCGAAGCTTTTTGCGAATGGGGCGGCATAGAAATGTTCTAAATAAATAAATACAATAAATAAAGCTTGAACTTTTCCCAAAACAACGCTTCCTAAAAGTAATCCTCTTACACTATTTATGAAATAACATACCATGCATGTTGTTCCCTTCCACAAAGTCATCAGTGCCATTGAATTCGTTAGGATCCTTCTGTAGATATTTCTCAATGTTTTCATTCAAATACCAGGATTCATTTTCATCAAAGACCAAGAACAAAAGAGCAAATTCACGGTCAATATCTTTCCTTAAACCCTTCTCATTTAATATTCCCTTTCTGCAAATTATAAGTGGTCCAATCAAACCACTGTACATGTCCTGGAATTTAAAAAGAGAAACAGGAGAGAATGTTTTGGGGTTTTTAATGGTGAGATCATTCCATATATTCTTCTACTGCAATTAATGTTTTTTGAAAAACATTTTTAATGAAAGGTCTTAAAACAACTGTGATAGTTGAAAACTATGCTAGAGAAAACAATGGCAATGCTTTAGAAGAGTAATTACTGTATTTGTTAAATGCATAGTCCTAAGCCTCTTGAATCCCAAGGTGGGACTATGGTTGTTATTATTATTATTATTATTATTATTATTATTATTATTATTAT